GGGCGGGGGCCTGCGGAGTGCCCCTGAGACGGGCCGAGGCTTCCCGGGAGGATGTGACAGGGGGTCATGTAGCCCCGAACACACATTAAAGGTCCAAGCGCTGCTGCTAATCGGTGGCGTCTCCAGCTTCAGTTCCTCGCGTGTGTGAAACCCGGCGCGAGTCTGGGGAACTGACTGAGGTGGCTCCGGAACGGGCCCCTGGCCCACAGGGCAGGGCGCTGCGCGTGGGGCAAATGGCCTTAAAGGTTGTCCCCCAAAATGGGGCTCTGGCAGACGTCTGTGGTCAGGCCCCCAGCGAGGCTGCCCTAATGATGAGGGTAACTTTTGAACAACGGAAGTCCTGGATCCTTTGTGCGCGTGGGTTTGTTTGTTTGTTTGTTTGTGTCACCTGTCAACATTCTCCAGAATAATATTATTTTTCCAAAGCACAATATTTGTCAGTGTAGGGTAAAGAAAAAGTGCTATCAACATCCTTTGAGTGAGTCCTAAGCAGAAAGCCCTCATACCTCTGAATCAATAAAATGATGGGTTTTTTTATTTTTTCACTTGTCTTGTGTGTGCAAACATATGTCAGTGGATTGGGGAGATTTTAGAGGAGGTGATAATCTTTGTCCACTTTATGTGATGCTTCTTGTAAGACAACTGTGACTAACTTTTAACTGAATTTTTGAGACGCCATCCATGCCCTTTCCAATCCCTCCTGTGACAGTCCTCTCTTGAGGAAAGCGGGAATATTTCTATAAATTAATTTAAATTTGTCGTTTCTTTTTTTTAGCAGCAATGGCAAAGTACAAGCAACGTCGACGAAAGCTGAGAGCCAGAGCAAAATTTCTAATGGAAAAAAAAAGAGATGCTGCTAATCCCCAGAGCTCAGATTGCCCCTCTCCAAGGTAAGGGGCTCTCATAGAACTTTTTCTTTAATTCAATTTCTGGAGCCGTTATTTGCTCCATATATAATATGAAATTGAGGTAAAAGCTCTGTGTTGGAGCCTGTATATCAGTAGAATTGTTTCATCTTGTACATTTTGTAGTACTTGCTCTAATGTTAACTTTAATGCACAGCAAATACATTTAGGAAAAAAACAATATATTGCAAATCCAAGGGTTTTTTTTTTTAATGTTTAGTGCCACAACCCTTCTCATGGTGTTTCTTGGTCTTTCGTAGTCTCATTCTCATTTTTACTCTGTTGGCAACTGTTGGTGGTGGTGCTTGTAATTTCCACAGTTATTTGTTTTAAAGCTTGACTTTATAGATATATTGCTGTCTTTGTTCTGAACTGTTCTTTCCCAGGCCAGCAGGTGATGTTCCTCTGGACACATCAACCGTGCAAAGCCGTCTGTCCTCAGTCTGGTCGTTCACTTTGCCCAGTGTGAAAACGGTAGTAAAACCCTTTACAGCAACAGCATCGTTCCTGTACTGTTGGTGCCAGAGCACTGTCACACAGGTAGGCGTCCCGGTGTGCAAGACGGTACTGATTGGTTGTACTCGTTGGCTGTACTGAGATGATTGTACCCATATATGAACTTTTCAGGGCAAGCGTGGATTATACTCTAGATAAAGTTAAATGCCTTTTTGAGAAAGTCACTCTTTGGGTTCCAGCCCAGCGTAAGGCCGTTGTGGTAAAGCAGTTGCAATTAATATTCAAAGATTGGTTGCCCAAGCAGAAATGACAGAGCGAATCTAAAGTATTTGGTGAAATTCCCTCTCTGTTTTGTGACTTTCTGTAGACTACAATGCAAGACTTTGCAATAGAGCTTTCAATAGGAATTATACCCGATAGCCTTGTCTCTGGAAATGCAATTTCTTGTAAGCACTGGTTTGGTTTCTTTTTGTGTTTAGAGTCTTAAAGTGGTTAAAGACACCATATTTCCATCACAAATCTACTTAAGGGAGCTAAATACATTTAGAGAGAAGCTGGAAAAGTTGGAAACTGAATTCTCTCAATTACAAGGAATACTCCAGGTCAGTCTGAATCCTCATGGGGCAGAGTAATGTTTAATTGTGTAGAAATTTAAGGAATTGTGGTCAGTGAGGGGAAACTGAAATCTTAACACTTTCCCATTGTGCAGTATTTCACCTCTTTTACACATGAAGCATTATTAAACTGCAGTTACTTCTTGGCTGCAGGCTAGTAATTCTGATAAGAGGCTTTTTATCTTCCTGGTTCAAATGAAATCAAAAGCTCTGTTCTCTAAAATTCAATGTGCTTGCCAGCGTATTTAATATTCTCTTATTTATTCATACTTCTTTTTTCAGATGAATGGAACTGCAGCTTCGTCTTCAGACAATTCTCTTTGTCAACGGTGCAATAAGCCAGTTCTGGATGCTCCTGCACAAACACAGGGGGACCTGCTCTTACCAGTGTCCGGGCCTTGGGCAGAACAACTGCAACCTGCACATGCAGCCCCTGCACCTCTCCCACCTCCACCACCACCCCCGCCACCACCTTTGCCCCCACCACCAGCACCTCCAGCTCCTCTCCTCCTCAAATGGGGCAGCAGCTCCAAAACCCTCCCGGTAGGCAGGAATCTCCACTTAGTTACTTGTGGCTGGGTTCTTTAATCATCGTTTAGTTACTTGTAGCTGGGGTCTTTGGACCTGGGTATTTGCAGCTGGGGTCTTTGGACCTGGGTTTGTGCATGAGCAGCCTGTCATTTGGCACTTCTAATTTTCCTTCTAACCCCTCTACTGTATTCAGGAAACATCACTAAAAAAAGATGGGCCGATGCATATCACTCTCAAAGATCTCCTGAATGTAAAACTAAAGAAAACAGAGAACAACCTGAGAACTGACAAGGTAAATCAGAGGACATGGGGATAGCTGGACTTCCCATGGTGCTCGTCTCAGCCTCTCAGGGACTCACAGAATTTGTCAAGAAATAGTATTTTCTCTTCTGAAAACAAAGCAAGGAGTTTTAAGTGAGCCTCCTAGTGAGCATATGGGCATTGGAAGTGAACAAATTAACCAATCTCATGGAAGGATCTGGACATTAAGATTAAGGACATATAGCTTTTATGTAGCTTTATGTTTGTGAGTGTTGTCAATGTATTTTGGGTTTATTTTGCCTGTCTAAAATGTTGCAGAAGTGTGTGTTTTGTTTTTAATAAACTGTTTTTGTCCAAGCCACATTAAATCTTAAGGATTTAAAAAAGCGTGAAAGCCATAAACCACAAAACTCCTTCAGAATATAAATACTAATTAGATTTCAGTTCAGCAAGGCCTTTTAAAGTTCATTTGTGGTAATGTTTCTGTTCTGACTTTAGGCAGGATCACCAGTGAAGACACGCAGGGCATTAATTACCGTGTCAGATTTACAGAGCATTAGTCTGAGACCTAAATCCAATCCATCAGTTCACATTACAAACTGCTTAATGTAAGAAGTCTTCTTCCTTACTTTGATATTTGATTTCTGTGTTCACAATAATGATGAACACTATTTACAGAATGTTTTAATAATCTGTTTTTTTTTCTGTTAGTACTCCTGCTAAAAATCAGTTAGATCTTCGAAAACATCTTAAGAAAGTCAATATACAAAGGTGAGTTCCTTCCTAATCTCATTTTGTTTCTCTAAAAAGTTAGAGAACTAATAATAATTCCCCTTACTGCTTCCAACCTTTCCAGAAGTCCTGGGGGCACTCCACTAAATGCTAAAGAAAACATGGAGAGCGGCACTGGCTTGACACCGATCATGACACAGGCACTGCGACGCAAGTTTCAGGCAAGTCATGGTGTTTGTCTTTCCAGAAAAAAAATAAAGTGGCTTGAAAGTTCCAGTATACCATGGAATTTCATACTTTTTTTCCTACCCTGCAGTCCCACTGATATTTGCGATCTCTTGAAGGCATAAGATACCTTAATAGAAAGTGAAAATCCTCGGGAGCCAGTGTTACTGAGGTTATAATAACTACTAAGTAGTCGTTACACTACTAATTATTAGGATAAGGTACTGTCTCTGTAGTTGACATCCAGGACAGCTAAGTACTTCGCATATAAGGTACCTGTTGTACTGTTTCCCAGTTTACTGGTAAGGAAACTATAGAATGGAGATGTTGGTGCCCTGCCTTTCAGCAGGTTCTTTCATGGTGCTTACAAGAAAAGTTGAGATTTTGTGCTGGCTCTCGTATTATAGTCCCAGTTTCCAGGAGAAGAAAAATATGAGGGTTAATAATGTCTTCTATTTTAACAATTTGCTGGTTTGTTTTCTTTTATGAAGTATCAATTGAGAGTAACATTGTAGTTTATCTGAACAGTAACTGTACCAAGCTCATACTCCAAGGTCTGACCCTGTTCTTGTTTTAACAGATGGCTCATCCAAAGAGTCCCTCTCCAGCCAAGTTAAATGCTGCTAACAGCTTCGATGAACAGAAGTAGTTTTATGGAACAATGTATTTTATTCAGCTATGGTGAGGAAGTCACTTGAATCCCACTTTTATATTACTAAACCATAATGTATCTGTAAGTAAATCTAATGTACGTGAGAAAGGGGAGTGTTGAAAACACTTTACCAGAATTCTACTTTTTAAAATCAAGGTCTTTATAATGAGTCTCGCTTCTTTATAATGAGTCTCACTATGGTTATATCTTTTCTGTTACTGGACAAAATTGAATGAAATATCCTGAGTCCTTTGACTATGTAACTGCTGCTGAAGCTTTCAAAAAACAAGTAGGGACTGTTACATTCCTGGCTTGCTGCTGCATGTAATACAGGTGTATTTGTTAACTTAAATTTTATATATATATATTTTTTTTTTAACAAAGAAAAGATTGAAAGTAGATATACAGATTTACCGAAAAGATCCACCTTGGTGCTCTGATAGTGTTAAAGATTATATTAAATACATAAGTATTAAACGTGCAGGGCTGGAGGTTTCCACAAACAGGTGCCTAAGGAATGATGAAGGAATTAACGTAGGGAGTGTGGCCGGTGACGGGTCCCCCATCCTGTGGAACGGGAGACCCCTCTGCTGGGAGGTCCCCGGAAGCCCCCGGCGGCTCCGGCTCTGCGGGAGAGCGATGGAGAAGC